GGGGGGGGGGGGGGGGGGGGGGGGGGGGGGGTGGGGGGGGATGATGACGACAGTGTTACGCAAACACAACCAACAATATCACCACAAGAGCCGTTTTACTCGGTATTTACAGTACTTTCATGATGTCCTACTTTGTTACATAGTTGCCACTCCTACTTCTGGACTGTGCGTCTTAAACTTTGGTGTCTCGCACGACGTGCCGAAAAAACTCGAAATTGGTTGGGGGAACCGTTTTCCTCGGTATTTACAGTACGTGTGCACACGACCCGCTTTCACTCGGTATTTACAGTACTTGTGGTGATGTTGGTGATGAAAGGTGGTGAAATGTGTTTGATTTGTCGTGATTTTGGTGTGATGTGTTTGCTGTTTGGTGATGTTGGTGATGAAATGTGTTTGGCTTTTCGTGAGCACACAACCCAGCATTTACCCGGTATTTACAGTACTTTTGGTGATGTTGGCGATGAAAGGTGATGAAATGTGTTTGGTTTTTGGTGATGTTGGTAAAGGAATGCGCTTGTTTTTTTCGTAACGTTGGTGGTGATGATGTTGATGACAATGACGAAGTGTAGTTGGTAGGCAGTGGGAGGCGAGTAGTAGTAGCAGCAGTAGTAACAGCAGTAGCAGTAGTGATTCTTACTATGAGTCGTATCATTATTGTCATGTTTACGATTCTTATTGTCATTATCAGTATCAATATTGATAACTCTGTTGTTATCATCATCACTATTGCTCTGGCCATGATCCCATTGGTATGTTTACTGCGAGTCCGATGGCGATTGCTGTTGCAGTTGTATCGATAACATGGTTAACTATAAGATTATTAGCAATACCGTTGGTACTCTTGTTGCTGCTGTCGTTACCATCACCATTCTTGTTATTGTTGTTGTTGCTCTACCTGCTCAACACATGCAGAAAGGCTTCTGCTCCGACGCATGTAGTGATAAGACTCGACTTTTCTACATGTGGAAACAGTGGTAGTGGCGCCGCGACATGTGACAGGCTGCCCAGGGATGGAGCTGACGTGATTTCACACACAAGCTTTCGCGGGGTGCTTTCACGTAGCTTCTTGGAAACGCTTATGCTTTCTACTACATGGAAAACGTGCATAGCAAGAACGATCGAAGGGCCAGAGTAGCCGATACACAAAGAAGGGAATCCAAACTCAAAAGGTTGGGATGTGCCCCAAAGACAATGCGGCTCATCGAAGACATCGTTGAGGTTGTCTGATACAGGCTTGCGGAGTGATATTGTATAAATAGATAAGCATGATAAGCTTCATAATCTTTCAGAACTTGAAGAAGACCTTTGGGTACAGTACACTGCAACAAGACGCAGAAGACAGGGAAACATTTGAGCAGCAAGAATTCAGGCTGCTGCAGGATGTAGCTCATACAACACGTCTTGCTGAGCAGTGCACCACTTCCTCGTGGATGAAGACCACACCACCCGAGGCCTGAAAGCAATCTATTGGACGCTTACTGCATCTGGGACCCTACGACCGAAGATAGGGGCCTTAATAATTCGCCTCGGAGAGGTTCCTATTCGGATTCCCTCTGTTCCCCACCTCTTAATCCCCTCCCCACTGACCCCCACCCTGCACCCGTAAATGAGCGGCGTGTCTGTAGGGAGTCCCACCCACCGCCGCCCCCACCCCGCCCCTGTCCCCTTTCCCCACCCCCCCACCCCGGCCCTCCCGGCCCCCGCTCCTTCCCTGTTGCTCCCGTTCGACCCGTTTCTTTTGTTATTCCTACGCTTCTTCTCGCTTTTCGTCGCTCATTCTTGCTTTTTTGCTGTCTTGCTTGCACTGGCTGAGAGCGGCAGCCGTCGATGCGCTGCAAGCCTAAAGTCCTCGACACGAAGCACAGGCCTGTCTGCTTTCATTTCTTGCCCGTTTTGAAACTCGAGTCTTCAGGCTAAGACTCCGCACGGCTTCGAACCCTGTGAAGAGCATGGACACTGCTAGCCGTGCTGTACCCCATGTGTCGCACATCGGCAACACTACGGCCAGGCCGAGGCGGACGACGCGCAGCGTTTATAAATAGAATAGGGTTTTGGGGCCCGTTATACTATAGTTATAATAAGGAACCCCAAGACAGTATTGGTAATTTTTTTTTGTTATGAATACGGCCCCTATATTATGAGCTACGTACTCCATGACCGCGTCCGAAGTTAAGCCTCCTTGAATGCTGATGCCTCTGCCCAACGCTCAAACCCCCGAAGCCAGGGTTTAGGCCATAGGGAAGGAGACGGCCGTAATGCGAACAACCTCAGACTGACACACCACAGCGATGGAGGCTTGAAGCCACCGTCCACCGACTGCGTAACTCAACTGCCAGTCCGAACCCCCAAACCCTCCAAACCCAATCCACACCACAAGGTGATAACATGTGGTATGCCCAGTAAGCGGTCACAACTCCAACTTCAAACAAAGATCAGGTAAGCAAAATCCTGATCGTAAAGACCTTTGCACATACTTGACTGCATATGCAGAAGAAAAGTCAGCCAAAGTATTGTCCACAAGCATCTCAAACCCATAGTACCTAGAAAGGACCCTTTGGGGTGCTCGAAAAACCCTGAACCCTAAACCCTAATCGATGCAGCCGAAGTCGCCGAATCTGTCTTCTTGGCGAGAACACCCCGATGTAGCTCATCCTGCATGCACCCACTGTTTAGCACTCAGGTTTAGGGTTTAGGGTTTAGTGAGCTCTCTGCCAGTCTCACGGAGGTACAACTACACATAGCAGGATCGAAGCTTGAACAGGACCGTCCAGCTTTCTCACGAAATGCTGCCAGTCAATTCGTCGGCGTTTGCAGTTTCAAAGTTCAGCCAACTCTGGGCTCCCTTTTTTGAATCCCGTGGCATACTGGCCCATACTGCGCCGGGGGGCGAGTGCTTCTAGGAGTCAGAACTGTCTGCGAGGCGTTCGGATATCATCTGGTAACACTGAACGTTTGCAATGAACGATCCGAATTTAGACTTCTCAATAGATGTTGAGCAGATAGACAGCTGTCTGCCGGACTCCTGCAGCTCGTGAGTGGCACAATGTCGTTGCCAGCTGCGGTAGTCCAGGCACAGGGCAAAAATTACGCCTGCCGAAGACGATGCAAACGATCGCATCTGAGAGGAGTTGCAAACTTCGGAGTTGCAAGGAATGGCTTTGTGGGATCTACAGCGGGTATGCCAAGCAAACATAGATTATGCACACCCCGAATAACTGCCGAGTACCACATTCCCCGCAGGCCAGGACCACGAAGTTCTGAGCTCTCAAGGCCCCCAAGTAGAAAGACATGAGGTTTAGGGTTTAGGGTTTAGGGTTTAGGGTTTAGGGTTTAGCGCAAATCAGCAGAGCTGTCAAGGGACAGACGAACAAGCACTAATTTGGTAGCCAAGCGCTGGCACCATCCACAAGCTTTGCTTTAACATGCTGCAGAAGGTCTAGCCGTAAGTGCGGAGCACGTCACATCGTGTAACTTCTATAATTGTGCTGAAGAAGTGTGCTTTGGCTGCTTGAACTCAAGGTGGAAAAGAAGGGGCTCAACGGCTTGGAAGCGCCATCCTTGTCATGAGTTCCTGAACCCAAACTAAATAACCGCAAAACCCTAAACTCTAGACTCTAAACCCGAGCATAGAACCGCCAATCCTAAAGCCAAGCCAATAATACAAGTACCAACTTGCAGCTGCTGGGAGCTCCGCGCAGACGCGAAGTCTGGATGGCACAAGTCTTATGGAGGTCGACAATTTAGGATTCAGGGTTTAGGGTTTAGGGTTGAGGGTTTAGGGTTTAGGGCTTAGGGCGTAGGGATTAGGGTTTAGGGCTTAGGGTTTCGGGTTTAGGGTTGAGGGCTTAGGGTTTAGGGTTTAGGGTTTAGGGTTCAGGGTAAGGCCCCCTGGGCCTGACAGGAGCAAGGCCAAGATGGCGAAGAAGATAATGCTTGGCACTTGCATCGCCCAGTCCCCGGAATTGACCAAAGAAGCGGATGCTTCACCTGGCAGGTTTCGGGTTTAGGGTTTAGGGTTTAAGGTTTAGGGTTAGGGTTTAGGGTTTAGGGTTTAGGGTTAGGGTTTAGGGTTTAGGGTTTTGGTGCTTTGGGGCTCGGAATGCATGAGAGGCCGAGTGCAGAGACCCGGCAGCAAGGACAAATCGCCCCTGACAGCTCCACCAGAGCCCTTCTGCTACGCACTCACGAAAACGGCCAGCGGTATAAAGTCGAGTTCGGGGCGCTGCACAGTCTGAAAGAACTGCCAAAGACAGTATTCAACCAGTGCTACCTCCGGAACCTGCAATTGGCGTACACTTGATTCAGCCCGAGCTGCGTGAGAACAAAAGTAGTGCGTTGCTGCACTCAAAGGTCAGGGCCACTTCGGTCAGGAACCCTTCGATGCCCTCGGTCACAAGACAAAAGCACATACAACTATGCACGCTACAGCACAAACGTGCTAATAAGCGAGGTTTCATCACATCTGGCCTTTCTGGCTTGTGCTAGCCATGGCATTGCACAAATAGCTGATGCGCGCCTCTCGCAAAACAGCGATCATGCGAAGAAAAACTTGAAGTGTCGTAACCCTCCATGTCGAAATCAGAATAAACAACTTCCCATTCATTGACGCAGGCCGTTTCATCCAAGCTGCAGCAAATATGGAGAGGTGCGTCGTTTCACAAACAAGCTCCCGACCTGTGCCAGATTTACCGACAGCATGTCGGACCGTACTACAATAAACGAATAGCTCGGGATGTACCTTCGGTGAAGCAAATCTGTTTGTGAGAGTTAACTAACTCCACACTTTAATCACTTTAAGATCCTTTAACTCAAACTTTGCCCGGCCCCACTTACCCTTGAAAGACGCTGATAGGGCGAAGCTTACCCTGGCGAAACATTGCGAATTTTTGAAACGCCTCTTCCACTCAAGTGCCCTCCCCAGCGCCGGATAGAAGGACTACACTGAACCCTAAACCCTAGACCTGAAACCCTGAACCCACTTCCTTGGTAGAATTTCCGCCTCTGCCCTGGACGCGGGTAACACCTTCAGCAGACCACCGCTGCAAAGTCTCATTCCAGAAGACACAGGTCGTGTCGTTGGATGCATCCGGACTCGGCAAAGGGCGTTGGGTCTGATGGGCTTAGGATTTACGGGGCATCCGTAGCTGGCAGCACCCTGGGGTATATACTCCTGTTCCACTTGGAGTGCATGCCTAGGGACTGTCATCCATGGTACGGTCATGCTCCGATTAGCACTTTTGCAGAAGCATGGGCAGAAGCTTTGGTGGCTCCAAACAACAAGCCGCAAGCTGCAAGCTTCCAACAAAGTCAAAGAAGGCAAGCACGGAACAAGAAATGATTCAAACTCCGTGTACGTTGCCAGAGTGACATAGAGAATGTGTAGCTGGTGATGGAGCCCGTACACTTACCAATGTGATACCTGGGGGTTTCTTAACATGGTGAAGGCGTAGGAGCCTGTGGGCGTCACACACGTCCGAACAGCAGTATCAACAATGACACAAGATGGGCCATGACCTCACCTTGATGGCCTGAATTAACAGAAGATTTGTATAACAAAAGGAAAAAAATGTGGGTAGTATACAAGGCACAGCATTGCGAGACAATGTGCTTCAAGCGCAGATTGAATCTAAATCAGGATCACACGGGGTAATGCGGGCTGCTTAGCTGTGGCTCTGCATGGGCTTGTGCATGATGTCCGCTTCAATTCGATGTAACTTGTCTCGGTCCTGTTGCTGGCTTGTGTCTGGGTTTGGTTGCAACTGTATTCCACTGCCTGGATTCGAGATGAATCAACGCAGATTCAGCGTGCGTGCCCTTCACGCGCACCTACGAAAGAAAACAGAAGAGATCCGCGATCTGTCTGTGGACCTCAGTTGAAATCCTGATTGCATGCAGGCCGCGCGAGTGTCAGCAGTACGGGTTCTGGAAGCGAAGCGGCCACCAGCGGCACCCCCTCCACATTAAACCTTGGCACCACTCAACGAGTTCAGCTTCCAGACTACAGTAGCCTTTCCCTCCAAGACCGTGTCAACTACTACACTTGTGATTGGATCATGCGCACCCTCAGCCTTTAAGCACTCTTCAGACACACTGTTGCGTTGATGCTGTTGGGGCGCATGGACAAGACCAACGGCCTAGTGCTTGGTGGCTGCCTGTCGACCATCTGGAGCTTGTCAGCACCGCCTCTCATCCAGAAGCCCACGAGAACCGACTTGTGACCATGGACCACCGGGGCTGTCGGTGTCGGGGTTGCATTGGGACCCATTCCGCACTCAGGACTTTGTGCAGGCATCCTATCGGATGAGTGAGCGGCGGGTCAGCCACCTCCGAAAGACTGCCTTTCGAGACCATGCACACTTGAGGTTGTTAGAGAACAAAGTGCTTTCGGGTTTAACGTTGAGAATTGGAGTGGCTAGAAGAATGATTCTCGATGCATCCTTTATTCGAACTCCCAGGGGGTTCACATGAAAACAAACTAGAAGCAAAAAAAAGTACATAAGAAAGACTTCGGAGAGGGATACCCGGCAAGAATCCCCAAAACGCGCTCATGCTCGTGCGAGGCGGACTTCTCATTGATGGTATCCCCAGAAGGACTGGCAATATATGCACACAGGTTGTTCAACACGGACCCTTGTTCATACAGCGCTTCACTAATTGTCTGGAGGGCTTTTGCATGGACCATGAACTCCATGCGATACCATGAACCCTAAGCCCTCCTAGGATTTCGTGATGATCGCATACTTTCCTTCCGGGAAACACAGCCGAAGGCCTTGGTTCAGCACGCTCACGGCGAACATCAGCGGCTCAGTGGAGACGTCGGCGACCAGTGAAAGCGGAATCTCCACATCCGGCGTGAAATCTGCAGGCGATGCACTCGCTACATCAGCATGCTTCATTCTAGCTCTCTTGTCAAGCCAGCCAGAAGGAATGCACATTACGCACTACACACTACACGCTATTCATTCAGTTACAATGAGAAGCAATAGTCAGCTGGCGTATCCGTGGACACATTCCCAGGTAGACGGCTTAGAGCAGACTTGCCCCAGGCGCTGAACCCTTCCATGGCCATAGCTCCCCGTCCGAAGAACAATGCAAGCCGATATGCGCCACAGGAATTACTATTGTTACTGTTGTTATTTAGGGATGTTGTCCCCGAGCATATAACACGCACGTCTAACGTCTAACATACTACTTGTACTATTTCGAAAGACCATTGATCAACACTAAACCGTGGCTCTGGGAATCCTTGATGTAACAAACTCTACACCCTAAACCGTAAGCTATTACCTCCTCTTTCCGTGTCGTGGTCGTGCAGGTGCCGAAAAGAACATATGAACCTGAAGATCCCGCCTTTGAGCTCGGAGGCGAAGGTCGAACCCGGTGATACTGTAAGAAATGATTATTCGGCCAACTGCGGCCTTATGAGGCCTTCTGGGTGTTTCAGCACATCTCAGCCTTGCCCGGTTGACGCGGCACGGAAGCGGAAGGACGAGGTATTCGCCCGCGGGGAGATCGCGGCAACCGTCACGCTGCCTTTTTGCCAGTGCTTTAAAGGATCTGACAAAGACAACCAGTAAAGCATCGAGGTGAACTGCCTTCTTCATCAACCGTGAAGCCACCGACTTCCTCGAGCTTTTCCAAATCCAACACTTGCCTCAGGTGCAATGGCTATTCAGTACATGCAGTGGCGAGTCTGGGGTCCACTTCAAGGCGTTTACGGAAGCCAGCATTTAGACTTCCAAGGCTCCGGCAAAACACTGGCCACCGCATCCTGCTGCCTCCTATCCTCCATCTGCACGGCTGCTGCAGCCTCCTGCTGCTGCACGGAAGCGGCGGGTCCTGCTCAGCGTGGCACTTCTGCTGCCGAATGCCTCATGAGATACATGCTCGCGCGATTATTCTAGCAACATGAAAGAACAGTTTCGAGAAAACTTCGCGTGCATGTCATGCACTTGCACATCGGGCCTATCTCCACGGGGCTCTTCTCAACCAACTGCAACTGGGGCCTCAGCTGGCGAAGCTCTGCAGACGTAACCTGTGTCGGCCACCTCTGCACATTGGGTCGAACCTGGAAGTCGTGATCGTGGAGACCGTGGATGTGAAGGTTCTGCTCCAAGCCTGGCGCATGGCTGACGAAGGTAACAGACTATTCTTGCTGCGGCTAGCGAATACTCGAAGCTCAAACCACCAAAGCCTGAACAGTTTGCTCCAGTGCGTCGATCAGTCGGTGAAATTTCAGTAGGGTTTTTTAGGAGTCTAAGGTTTAGGGTGTAAAGTTTATACATGCATCCATTGCGGACTATCCCGAAGCAGCCACTTGAGGACTAACTACGTACAACACTGCGCTTTCAATGTAACTGACAATGGGCAGGCTTGTGCGCATAGAAGATCTCATGGGGGAACGGAATGGGATCTGTCCGCAACCGGTTCCATGACCCTCCTTGGGAACCGAACCTGCCAGTAAAGACGACCGGTGAAATGCCGCACATAATCTGTCACACACCACTCTTGCTGTATGATACTGAAGCCTCAGGGATTGTGCATGGGACTCCGACGCATCGCAAACCAAACGTTGAGCTGAGTTTCCATGGGCAGTTGCATGCAGACAGAATTGCACGCAGAACGTGAGAAATGGCTAACACTTGTGAAGTGAAACGCTGGGCACACAAGGATATCTGAGGGCACTGGACCTGATGCACCCAAGTTGCTTTATCCGACACTTGAGGGCCAGGGGCATGGAGAACGAAAGCTCGGTCTTTTTTTACAGAAGGACTCAACGGCTACACACACGCAAACGCAGAGAGACAT